GAAACGTTCGATGAAAGTTTGTAAGATATTTTATGCTAGATGTTTATATTAAATTCAATGAAATTTTGTTTCTTTATTTGTGTTAATTACTACACATACATGTATGTGTGTATGGGGTGAAATGTGTAAATATTTCCTTGTACATGACATGAAGATCAAATACTCTTAATCCAAATTAATGTTAAAATTTCACTACAAATCAACAAAACAATGAAAGTGCGATATGCGCATTTATAGAATTATGCGTGGAAGAATTTTTTGTAAAAGATATTTTTTTTATAAATTTGATTTAATTAATTTTCTGTATCTTTTTAATGTTCAAAGACGTCTAATGAAATAAGATTTATTAATTTGTGGAGTAAATTATAATATGACTAAGACCAATAACAATTTGCATGTCAACTGATTTCTATGTTAGGAAAAAGAAACACGGTTCAGTTTATTTTATAATATAACAATGGAATTTTACTATAATGTTGCAAATCACAACTTATGAAACCATTTACTTTTCCATTTCTTTTGACCTTCTTTTTGATAGATGAATATTGAAACCATGCATTATTATAAACACTAACGCAGAAAAGACGGTTCGTACCTCAATATATTTTATTTAAAATATAAAATAATTGAAGTTAAAAAAAATAGAGAATGTGAGCAGTTAAGTAATTATTTAGATGATATAAAAAATTTGAAAAATAAATTTATGAAAAAATAGACAAAAAAAGATAATAAAAAGGGTATAAGAGAGAAATATTTTAAAAATTAAGAAACAAAATAGTTATCTAGTTTAAAAAAATACCGCCCTTAATTAATAATATAAATTATAATAACTGTCAATATCTTTTACTTTTGACTGTGTATTTGCCGCCAGCAGATCAAAGCCTAATGAGGAATCTATTTGGTATAACATATAATAGTTGACGATATTATTTCATCATGAAATTGCTTAATCTAATTAATTAAGGACAAAATTAACTATTAAGCAATGATGTACTATATTTATTCTGAATGCCAGAATTTCTAAAATCTGACTCATTTCAGCACAAAAAGATTAATCAAACTGAGTTATTCAATTGTTGTTAAAATTATCTTCTCTGAGCTGATGACTTTCACAATTCTTCTACAAACTAACTATAATAATTAAATTATTAAACCACGTACTCGTATGGTTTGAGTTATGAATTAAATAAGCTATTCGTGAGATGCATTGCCAATAAAAATGGGTGCCAAACATATATAGCAGAAATGCAGAATATACCTATCGTATAAAGAATGGTACCAAGTTCACAATAGTTATCATATAGTAAATTGTTATAGCAAAGGTGTTGAATGTTGATGGATTAGGTATAGTCCTTGTCAGCTAGAGTGGTCCAAAACAAGATACGGGTCAGAAATCGCTTGCACAAGATCTTGAACTTGCTATTTTATTAAAATGGCCACAAGGCCATGCCTCCTTCTTTGTCCACCCTTTCCTGGCTGTCCTAACCCACTTTTTTCTTCTTCTAATTGTCAAGTATCAATGACTTTGTTCTCCAATTGATGAGGTCAATTGTCTGGTATCAAACTCATCACCATGACAGGCTAGATAGATTCAATTTGGATCCTCCATTGGTTAAAATACAAAGTCCAATTTAGCAGAAAGTAAGTAAAGGTTGTTCAATTCCTCAAAAACACATGTAATGATTGTTGAAAAGAATCCAGATGATTCTTTTTAAGTCGTTGGATTTTGAATTTAAATCATATAGTATTATATCATCGAAAATTGTTTAAGAAATTTATCTGTGATCAAACCTGGTACTAAGAAGTTATGTCATTCATGCATAATGTTGTACTAGTTAATTAAGTCAAAAACCATATCTAAAGTGTTGTCTAATTGATTAGTAATGAAAAAATTACATTAAAAATGTATATTAAGATCAATATGATGTTCGGTTATTTTACCTTATTTTAAGATAATTGTATTTTAATATAGCAAATTTTTTAATTTTTTATATATTAAAAGATGATATAAAAAGTTAGATAAATATGAAGATTATATATAAATAAAGTTTCAAATTTTAATGAAAATATACTCATTCTTTGCCTTTGAACTTTTTCTTTTTTCCTTCAAATGAAAAATTCACGAAAGCATACATATATGTTAAATGGACAAAATTTCGTGTAGTGTCAAAGTACTTTATACTATTTTTCAATTAAATTAGATTTTATATTTATCTTCATTTTTTAGGCGAATATTTTATCTTAATAATGGATAATTAATAACCTTAATTAAATGCTATAACTTTAATTTTATTAAAAATATTAAAATTAAATCTAAATTTTTATTAATAAGATTATCTAATGTATATCAACTAACACGGTATTATTTCACTTAATTAATTTATGATTTCAAATTTAAGTTTTGAATATACAACTACCTTAAATATTAAAAAAGAGAACTCTGATACTTATAATGATATCATTGACTTAATTAAAATTATCTTTAGTGAAAGATACATTTGATTTATATAAAAATATATAATAATAAAATAAATAAAAAAGAAATAGAATCTACACGTAATTTTATTTCTATTAAATACACTTGCATTCTAGAATATATATATATATATATATATATACCTCAAGATTATGCAATTGTGTAATCTTACTCCGAATCTTGGGAATATTTCCTATTCAAAACCAGTGAATAAACTGTGAATGAGAAAGCTACAAGTGGGTGGCTAGCTAATTAATGCTGTCTGCTTAAAGGCTTAACTAAAGTTTTAATTAAGCTGACACACTGATAAGCCACTTACAAATAAAAACAATGAAGCCCTGTTAATTAATCTGACCCAATTGCTGATGATGTTCATTCATCTACTACTTCTTTATTTGTATGGAACCTGACAACAGCTTCATCTACTTCATTATTCTCCCTGCAGCAGTCCAATCACCTGAAACCAGGACCAGGACTTTTCAAATTAAAAAATATATGGTTGTAATAGATGATTGACCTTTCAGATTTTTAATGATACCTGGACTCAACCATTTTAAGGAAAGTTACAAGAAACCTCCTATATCATGTTTCTTTCACATAACCCAGGAATTTTCTTTGTATGAGTCATTCATTATATTATTTTCAAACTCATTATGTTTTCAAATCTTCTTCTGTCTGATGTTATTTCTTTGAAATAACATCTATTTTTTCAACAAATATTAGACCATCTGCAATGCTTAAATTTTAGCAGAGTTGTTTCTACAAGCAATTCGGCTAAAATTTAAACAACTCATAAAATGGGCCAGAGCTGATTTGGCAATGATATGACACAGGGAGTTGCTTATAAACAACTTCCATATGCTCTTAGTTACATAAATTACCATATGAAAATGACTTTTTTGACTAAATTTTTCTTACTAAAAGATTTAAGAAGTCTTTTAATTTTAAATGTTTAAGTGAAATATTAATAAATAAAAATAATACTATTGAGCAGCCAGGGATCTTTCTTGGTGTAGGACAATCTCAAATACTTTACCTCCAATAGTCATCAGTAGCCTTGTGTTGTACATTCTAGTATATTACACACATATATATATATAAGTGGGAAGTTATAATTATACCAATATACCTTTTACTAAGTATTATACCGTTCAATAATTTTATATTAATTGTGAATTTTATAAATCTAACCGTTAGATTGAAAGTTCATATCACTTTATACATGTATATCAAATTTTGTTAAAATTGAACAATAACTTGAAAGTAATTAAAATGTTCATATTTTAGTATATTTTAAAATAAATATATTACATTAATGTTGTTTTATAAAAATGAAGTATCAAATCATGTTGGATTAATATAAAATTTTGTATATATGATCTAAGAGATATGAATTTTCAACCTAACGGTTAGATTTACAAAATTCACATTTAATATAAAGTTATTGAGCGATGTAATACTTAGTAAAAGTTACACCGGTGTAATTATAACTCTTATATATATATATATACCCTAATAATTGTATCTTACCCTATAATAATATCGATCTCTTTTAATGATAATATTAAGCGTGTAATATGTCCGTGCCATCATTATTAGTCCACAAAAATGCACTTCCCCACATGAGGTAAGTACAATCTAAAGATTAATAATGCCGGCCTTGCCTTCAAACGACCATGCAGACACTATATATATCATACCATCCTATCCGATCCTATTATATTAAAATTCAAAAGCAAGACTAAAGAAACTAATGATATTAAGCATTAACACGTCTCTTAGTTCTTGAATCGATTATTGTTCACAAGAAGTAGCTAGAATAAGATCAGTTGTATATACCCATACAATCATCCATATATAACTAACCAATTGTGTTGAAGATTCCGATTCGGCATCGATATGGTGATAATAGTATAATAGTCCATGATAACTTTTATTTCATGAGCTAATTAGTTTTATTGAGTTGAGTCCTCTAAACTCAAATTTTAATTAAGTGATAAATTGTTGAATTTTTTATTTTAATCTTTTTTTATTATCAAAAGGTGTAAGTAAATATCTCCTCTAATTAGTTTGAATTCTTTTGTATATACAAGAATCAATTCAAATTCTAATTATTTAATTAAATAACATTAGTCTCTATCATTTAATCAACTCAAGTTGATTTATGTTATTAGTTTTAACACCTTTTAACACTTATAAATGTTTAATTTTATAAACTTTACATGTAATATGTTCAAATTTTACCTGTTTGATGTGAGATTGTGTTAAATTTCACATTAATAAATAGTGTAAACATAATAGTATATATAAATTAAAATAACCTTCATCTCAATAAATTAATTTGTAAAATTGAGGTAGCATGAAATTCTTTAAATTAGAATAACTATTGTTTCGATAAATTAACTTGTAAAATTGAGTTAACATGAAACTCTTTCTAAGAAAATAGAACTTTAATATGTAACGGAATTTCAAAACATGATATCCTTGCTATTGATTTGATAATCCTAACATATGATGCCTAGAGAAAAAAAAAAAAAAAGTAACTACAATTATATTGAAATGAATAATTTTACAAGCTTCTCCACCCTACATTGACCAAAATCCCAAAATAGTAAAAAAAAAAAATCACAAACCAATACAATTTCTAGAGGAGGTGACTCCACCATCCACAACAAGATTATGACCACTAACATACTTGGATTCATCACTAGCAAGATAGAGTGCAGCCTCAGCAATATCTTTAGCCCTAAGAGTTGTTCCATTCAAGTTGGCAAGCCCTCTGACAAACCCCTCCATTTTCTCCACTTCCTCAGGGAAAGGCAACCCAAAATTGATCACACTATCATCACCATCATCATCAGCAGCAGCACCACTTCTCCAAGCATTCACAAGCATGTTTGTGGCCACCCCAAAGGGTGAAATGCAATTGACCCTTATCCCATACCTCCCCAACTCACAAGCGGTGTTCTTTGTGAGCCCCACAATGGCATGCTTTGAGGCAGTGTAGGCATGTGGGCCAAGCCCCCCCATGACCCCAGCAACACTAGCAGTGGAGATTATGCACCCAATTCCCCTTGGAATCATCACCCTTGCCGCGTGCTTGATCCCCAAGGCCATTCCCTTCACGTTCACACGCATCACTCGGTCAAACTCATCAGGGTCAAAGTTTATGATGCTCTTGTTCTTGGACTGGTTCCCTAGCACCCCAGCATTGTTGAACATTATGTCCACTTGACCAAACCGAGAAACTGTGGAACTCACCAGATTCTCAACTTCTTCTTCCATGCTGACATCACAGTGAACATAGGTGGCTGAAGGAGCCAAGGTCTCAGCAAGCATTGTGCCAAGTGCATCCTCAACATCTGCAATCACAACCCTTGCACCGTTCTTCACGAAAACTCGAACTGTTGCTTCTCCTATCCCTCTGGCACCACCGGTCACAATAGCAACCTTGCCTTCCAACCTGTAACAATATCAAACAGTTGGTAAGCGTTGTTTTTGAATGATTGAAAATTAATAGTCTTGTTAACTCTGGAGGCATATCAAGTTTACAATGTCGTGTGTAAAATTAAACCTGGCTACAAAATGTTCGGATTGTTTGTAATTGGAAAAACTAATGAAAGGAAGTGTTTTGCTTCTTTTGAGATTAATGGGGTGATCATGGTTTTGCTTTATTTTGAAGAACAATACAAGGTTGAAGATTGTGGACTAATCGTTTTCAATATGCCTCTCAAAATTTCCCTCTAACCCAAAACATTTTAGCGTTATTTATGATTTTTGTTGAAAACAATAAATAGTTTACTTTTGTGGTGAACTTATCATTGTTTTTCACCACCAAACCAAAAATACTCAATAATGTTAAAATATAAGTTTAGAAGAATTATTGAAAAAATTATTCATTTTTAATATAAAAACCTCTAAAAATTCTTTTAAATTTGTATCTAATCAAATTATATATACCTGTTAAAAAAATAATAAAAGAGTCACAAAGTGAAATGTATGATTTTTTAAAAAAAATTGAAATTAGTACCTTCTAGGTGAAGAAGAGAAGCTGGTCTCTCTTGAAAGGATGGGAACCCCTTGAAGGGGTTTTTCAGGCATTACTTCAGCAACCATAGCTGTGGCAGAGTATATAATGAAGGCAATGGAGAGAAAAACAAGAGAGACAGAGGAAGCAAAGGCTTACAGAGCAAGTGCTGTTAGAATGGAAAACAAGGCTATTTATAGTACATGAAATGATTTTGGGGTTCAGGGGTTGTAATGGTTGGATCTGTGGGGCTATGTTATTTTCAAATTATCTTATATTTAGAAAATATTTATTACTTTTCTTTTGACTATTTTTCATTTATTATTTATTATATCATATTGTTTTTTTTTTCCCTCTTTGTTGAACTTTTTTATGCCCTAAAATTAGAGTGGATCGATAAGACTTTTCATTTCCAAATCTGTGTTAATTGTTTTTTTTCTTCTTCTTTGGTTCTAGTTGTTATTACAAAATCATTGGTTATTGTTTTTAGGTCTTTACTTCCTGTTGCCAGGACTTATTTCCAAGTATACAGGATTACTATTATTATTTTTTTCTCTCTAAAGTCTGAACCCTAGTTAGTGATATGTGTACGAACTTAAGAGAAAAGAATAAAAATATATGAACAGAGTACTGTACACTGTGCAGTGTACCAACTGTACAATTATTAAATTGAATCTCAATTAAAAATGTTTTGATGTGATCTTTGCACAGATTCAAGTATTAGAAACATTAGAATTTTAATGCCTGATTGAAGTTTTTTATGTCAAATCCTTGTTTGTTTAAAAAAAGATATTAAATTTTGACTAATCCCATCTGAAAAATAGGAGTATAGGACAATCCTTTTGTTTTTTTTAAAATAAATCAGTTATTTGAAGGTATCAAAAAATATTTTCGAAAATGAATATGGAAATATCATATTTTCATCGAATTTTTTACATAAATAATATTTTTTTTTAAAAATTACAAAAGTAACATCTGTACAACATTATTTACTCAACTAGAACCAATCACTATTCATGCTCAGAATTCAGTTTCCTGGGAACCGAATTCTGAGCTTCAATATTTTTTTTTCCTTTTTTTTTGTGCTCAGAATTTGGTTCCCCGGAAACCGAATTCTGAGTTGTTTTTAATTTTTTTTTGCGTTTCTGGGAAGTGGAACGGGCCGTTCCGGAAGTAGAACGGCTCGTTCTGCTTAAACACATAGATTGTTATTTTTGAAATTGGAACGGGTGCAGAACGGGCCGTTCCAATTTCAAAAATAACAATCTATGTGTTTAAGCAGAACGAGCCGTTCTACTTCCGGAACGGCCCGTTCCACTTCCCAGAAACGCAAAAAAAAATTAAAAACAACTCAGAATTCGGTTTCCGGGGAACCAAATTCTGAGCACAAAAAAAAAATTGAAGCTCATAATTCAGTTCTCGGGGAACCGAATTCTAAACATGAACAGTGATTGGTTCTAGTTGAGTAAATAATGTTGTACAGATGTTACTTTTGTAATTTTTTTAAAAAAAAATATTATTTATGTAAAAAATTCTATTTTCATCTTTGGTACTTTATGAAAAAATATTCTACCTAGCAATTGTTGATTTTTTAGAATGAAAATGCCTATGTTTCTCTTGCTTCTTATTCTAATATTCTAATGGTAAAAGATAAAAATTATTTTCTACAATAATTACTTTATCTTCACTCATTACACCCAAAGTTCTTTTTATTCTGATATTAAACTTTTAATAAAACAAAATTATCAGAAGACATGCGAAAGAATGAAGTCGCATTTCATCTAATAATTTTATTTTATTAAAAGTTTAATTTTTCTAAAATTACTAAATACCAACTTAAGATATGTATAAAAATGATATTTTTAATATAATATTTCTAAAACTATTATTTCACATATGATATTATACTTGAAATAAGAGTCGCTTGAGTTAACATAATTAAAAACAAGTTCCACGTATATGCTTTTATAGGTGTAATGTTTCTTTATGGTCTACTTGGTGAAAAAAAATAGATAAAAATAAAATGTTTAACTAATAGATTGGGTACACTTTAATGTTTCATTTGGCAGGCAAAAAAATAGAAAACAAGTTAACAAAAAAAAAAGTGAATTAATGAAAATATGCAGAAATGGGATATAGATAAATATACTTGTTTTAAGCGAATAAAAAATAAATAAGTGAAATATAGAGTAAAAATAACTAGTTGGCCATCTAACTTTTTTTTTTTATCATTTTTTTTTATCTATCAAACTCATTTTTTATTTTATGAATTTGACTCTTTTAACATGAAGAGTATATTTTAGAGTATAAAATATAATAATAATCTTTGATTAGAAAATTAATAATAGAAAATTATGATAAAATCAAATATATATATATATATATATAATTAAACTTAAAATTAATTATAATATTTATTATTAATTTTTTTAATTAATAATTATCATTATATTTTATTTTTCTCACTTTACAGGAGTTAAATCATTATTTTATTTTATTTTTATTTCTTTTCTCTATGTCGTATTCCTCTTTCATCAAAATGTAACATCAATGGATTTAATTCAATTGATAGATGTGTGAGTTTTGTAAATTCTATATACCAAATTTGATTTTCATTGACAAAGAAAAAAATGTAAAATCATTTATGTTATGTATAAAGGGTACATTCAAATTATAAGTTATACACATATGTTAAATATTTATAAAGAGAAATTTGCTAGTAGCCTTATCGATTCAAATAAGATCCTCATTAAAACAATTTATGTAATCATGTGTAACTTTTTTTTTTCCTCTCCATTTTGTGAGCAACATACTACTGGAATAACAACTATAAAATAAAATACCCAATTTTCAAAAACAAAACACCTACTATTATATTTATATATAATTTCTATTATCTTTTATTTTAATTTTAAATAAGCATAAAGAAATCACTCACACGTGTTTCATCTTGGTAGTTCTAAATAAAAATTGTACGTGGCCGTTGAATCAAATCCTTATTAATTTCTTAGTTTCCCCTTTGCTTAGTTTACTCTTCCGCGTCTTTGACTATTAATTCAGGCTTCATGGTTATGACTTAAAATTTAATAAATCATATTACTCTTTTATACAATATGAGTAAATAGTTTATGTATAGAATAAAGTATTTTTTACATTTTTTTATATAAAAAAACTTTTTTTTTATATCTTATTGTCATTTATAATAAAAAAAATATTAATAATATTTTAATTAATTAATTAATGATATTAAAAATCATATAAAAATTAAACTCTTAACATAAAGGACGAGACATTTAAATATTGGCTAACGCCTGCACGTTCAATGTAGTGCGACAAAAATATGTCGGTTGACCTTGACCATTTGACGAATATTAAATATTTTTATAATTTTTTTAATTATTTAAAAGTGATGAATAATTTTTTCATTTTAATGTAATAATTATTTACTTTTTTCTTAACCTAATTTTAAAGATATTTCAAACATTTTTTAACATTATTTTTATGTAAAAGCGTCAATAATATTTATAATTGTTTAATAATTTATACTAATAATATAATTAAAAAAATAAAACATAAAAATCGTAACCGATTGAAAGAAATACGCTAAAATACTCTTAAATATCTTTATGGATAAATGAAGATAATATTAAATTCTTTTAAACCATTAAATATATATATCTACTTTTACTTAATATTTTGTTTATAAAATATTAGAAAAATATTGTAAGAAAGATGACTTTATTCACTAACATAATCAAAATCTAGGTCAGTGCGACACAGATTAATTAATTAACCAAGGGTGTTTTCTTCGGTATTTGGGTGTACCTTTCCTAAGTTATGGTTTTGTTCTTTGATTCTTTAACTAATGTCACGCCCACTGTTTATGACTTAATATGAATTTATTTTAATCCTTCTTCACCCTCTCATTTTGTTAATATTCTTAAAATTGACCCATGATTATATTTGTCACTAGGAAAAACTTTGGAACTTTCATCATCAATATTAAAATTGGTACAATTTTTCTTTTCTACGTTCATATCTTTTTATTATATACAATTCTTTAAAGATAATCTTATCCCTATAATTACTTCTTAAATTATTCTCTTTAGTTTTTCTCACTCCAACAACTATTCAAAAATTGCTTATTACCTAGTTTTATTTTTTTGGTTCGTTCCTGAAGTATTCACCGCCGATAACAGTGACTAATCTTCTCGCTACGTTGGAGGCACCTCAAAGGGTGGGATAGCTGGCCCCAAGATTTAACGCGGCTGCATACACAAGGCAGGATTCAAACCCCTGCTTAAGTGTGGATCAACCATTACCGCTAAACCACACGCTTGGAGTTTTATTACCTAGTTATTTTATTGCTAACAGTTCACTTTAATTTTATTGTTTATATTTTAAAATAAAAGGTGCAAAATGTCTTTTCACAATGGTCGTTAAGTCTTTATAAATTTATCTCACTCTACTCTCCACCAGCAGAAAAAATTACTGGAAAAAACTTATACTCCAATTTATTAAAACTTATTAAAAAAAAACAATAATAAACAAAGTTAATTAAATGAAGAACCCACAAAAATTTTGTGATTTGTTACAAATTTCAACCAGTAAAATTTTCAACAGTTCTATAATATTTGAAAAAATGCGCTAGAACACAGTAACAAAATTTCATCATGTTTTTAACTGTTTGAAAAATGGAATGAAATAAAACGTTAGATTAAAATGTATTAAGAGAAGAACAAAACATAAAGGAGTAAAAACGAAAAATGAACTAAAATAAAACATAGAAAACTGTAAATCATGGAGATTAAAAAAATGATATATGTGAATTTCACAGAAAAACAGAACACCATGAAGAAAACACGAAATCGTAGTGTTCCATTCTGTTCAATTCATATGTAATGCTATATAGTATTCCATTTGGCTCAATTCATAAGTCTACTTTAGGTGAAATTTTCCATATAAAAAAAATCATTAGCAAAAAAGGAAATAAAAATGAATTCACTTCTGTCCTTTGTAAGAGAGTTTATAATAAATAAATAAATAAAAAAGCAAAATACAACCATTTACATCTTATTATTTTGTCATAAAGGTGCTTGTCAAAGGTTAATGCAATCTATAATGATATGTCATAATCATTACATTACTCGAAATCACTACAAGTAGTAGTAGAATTAGATAACTAGTGATATATCAATTTATAGAAGGAAC